GGCCGTCTTCCCTTCATCCATCATCAAAGCTTTTGTTTGGTTGCCTCGCAATCACCGATCTCTGCGTGAGCCTCATAGCACAGTCTCTTCGTGTTACATATCTGATGTCTCCAGAACACTCCAAACTTTGTTACCATGTTTGGGTCCTTTATAATACCTTAGGTCTCATTTTTTGTGGTGTATCTCTGTTGACACTGACTGCAATTAGTATAGACAGACTTCTCGCCCTGATATTGGGGTTACGATACAAACACTTGGTAACTTTGAGGAGAGTTTGGGTCGTTGTTGTTATTTCACGGCTCTCGATAATTGCCATTGTAATCACAATCTTTTATAACTTTTCAATTAGTGATTTTGTGGTTTGCACGATCTTATTGCTGTGTATAATAATCTCAACCTGCTGTTACACAAAAATTTATTTCACATTACGAAAACATCAAGCGCAGTTACAGGGCCATGCTCACCAAACACGATCGAACAGAGGATGCTCCTGGCAATCCAAGAGATCTACTCCTCTGAATATAGCGCGATACAGAAAGTCAGTGTCCAGTGCATTGTGGGTAAATGTGACGTTAGTGGCTTGTTACCTTCCTATTGGTGTCATCATAGCTACATTTGCTATCACTGAACGAAATACACTATCCATTGACTTAGGTTGGGAAATAACGACGGTAGTCGTTTTCTTAAATTCATCCCTAAATCCTTTTATTTATTGCTGGAAAATCAGGGAAATAAGACTGGCGGTGACGGACACTATTTCTCGGTTTTGTTATTGCTTAAGGTAAATGTCTACAAATATGTCTTAAAGAACGCATCAAGCCTGGAAAACATGTCATTCATATACCTGAAAACAATATTAGCTACAATATAATGATTAACGAATAACTTTAGGAATTCAAACAAAATGATGTAATGGTGGCGGAGAGTTTCCTTCTCACAATTTTAACTAACAGCGCATGACGATTAAGGGCTAATATATTTAGGAAGGGTATGTATTTCCTTAGGACCCTTAAGTGATTCACTGGTTTGCAATAAAGCATTGTCTACCTAGTATCTAGTGCACAGGGTGGTCAAGAATAGTTCGTCAATCATTTGGAATGATAGCACCTCAGAAACGGGTAATTTTGAAAAGAAGCTAAGGAGGCACCATTAAGCAAAGAAAATATGATTGTTTTCTAAAGTCACCACTCATCACAATATTTGTTTTAACTTATTTAGCTTCAGTGATTTGTTAAATTGGTAGTTTTGGAGTTGGCAAATAATAAGCATAACGTGGACTGTTCGATTTTAAAAGGTGCATTAAAGACGCTTAGACACAGAGTATTGAGTTATTTTTACCATGTATAAAATTTCCTTAAAATTGAAGAAAACCTGCAAATAATAGTTTACTAATATAGAAAAACACCATAGGGTTAATAATAAACTATACGGGACCAAAGATGATCAAGGATGGAGGACATTAACACGGATTACAAACGACGAACTTGAAAATTTAGGCTAAACTTTTCGAGATGCGCAAGCTCCTGTAACGTCTCTATGTTTAGATGTCTAGTAATCTTAATTGATGTTGCTATGGGCAACTAGTGGATCGACGCTACAGAAATGCTATTACTATTACAAGATAACATTATTATAAAATTAATTAGAACTTATGCAATCATTTGATGGACTGCTTACTTTGATCTGAGAAACCCTTTCACGAGCATGATATGTAATATATTACTGACGCCCTATCGCAGTTTTTCACAAACGCAATATTCAGGCAAGAAAGTAAGGGCATACTGGGTATTAACCCTCGGACGTACAAGCTAACTTGTACCCCTACCTTGGTACAAGGGGGGATAGAGGAAGTACCTCCCCCTCGACCGTCATTCGACGGAGTCATTTGACTCGCCATCTTGGATTTTACTAATTTTTTTTTTAAAGTCAACAAATAAAGGAAATTAACGCAAAATCAAACCAGAATTCTTATGAAATGTGTAAATTCATAAATTTGTGTTATTTGATGAAGAAAACTGGAAAAAAAACTACAGAATTAGTTCCCTCAAAAAGCTCATTTTTGATCAGACTTAATAGTAACATTATTGGTAACTTTATTTACACACGGTAAATCCTTCAGCAAAGATTGTAAAAGATCAGCTATTTATCGCTAACTAAACTAACTAACCTAAACTACATACTAAAAGCTGCTTTACAAGGATGCCATGTTAAAACTCATTCAAAACTGTGGTGACGTATGCTTATCATATAAAGATGTTGCTGCACGAAGGTCACTGGATAGGCTGTTCCACAACCTGCCTCCGCTGAAAGAGAAACTAATTGGTGCGGGGCTGAGAAAAAGCCAATTTATTTTCAGTGTTCCTGACTTGATATGATATTATGTCTAGCACTCAGATACTCAGGGGT